TTTTATCACAGCAGAAAAGTAACCTAGACCTCTACCAATGCAAAATAACCTTTTTAACGATACAAATTTCATGAATAAATTAGGAAAGCCAAAGGAATATTTGCTCAGTTGCTGAGTGAGAGCTGGGTCTAGACCCAAAACTCTTGTAGATATTCACAGCCCTTCCTCCTGCCTACTGCTACTTGGCTATCCCATACTGTGGAATTCAGTCTTCAGATTCCTCCTTTTATGCTCTTTTGGAATGTCATAATGAAAAAAGAAAAATAGAAACCAAAAGAGGAGTAAGGTCTTGCTTTACCTCATTGTCACCTAAGTGGATCCAGTTTCCCCTCCTTGCTAAAATTCTGCCCACAAAAAAAGTGAAAAAAAACCCTGCATTTCACAAATACAAGCAAAGGGAACTATGGAGAAGGGGTAAGTGGGAGTTGAATAATGCAGGTCATGGATACAATAGGTAGAGAAAGAATTTTTTTAGAAAAGCCAGATTTAAAAGTCTGTACAATGACATACAACTAGAGTCCCTTTCTTTAAACATAAACAGATGTATAATGTTCACCAGCCCTCCAATACAATAGGAAAGCTCAAGTACCTAAAGGCAGAAATGTGACTGGATAGTCATGAAAAAATATTACTTTAAAAAACCCTATTGTCCAAAGAGCTATAGTAATGAAAATCAAATTTATTCTTTCAATAAAAGAGCATGTATTTAATGTCTCCTCACACCTGACACTGCAGGAAGTACCAGGGTGTTCACAGAAGTAGGAGACCTGGGCACTGAAGAAACTCATTGGCTAGTAGAAGAAAATAAGACAACAGAAAATTAATAGTATTGTAGGGAAGGAGAAAAAGACAAGAGGAAAGGACTAAGGAAAGAAAAGAATAAGAGAGAAATAGGTAATGAAAGAGCATTATGGGAAGAAAATCCTAAATCTATCTGCGGAGTTCCAGAATGGTTTTAGTGTAGGACATAAAGGTGAAAACTTAATTGTGACCTTATAAATATGAGATAATACAATGATATGAATAGCTTAGATAAAATATGTTAAATAACCCCTTCTGAAGTTACAGGCTTCTTGCATGATGGGAGATGCCAGAAACAGGCCATGAAAATTTTGTCAAGTGATCTTTTTCAATCACAAGAAGGTCACTGTAAACAGGACATCTGACAAAATTGCCAGATAGTCAAACTATACCTTACTATTAATTTAACTTCCATGGTCTTGTGGTATTTTTAAAGAGACATTGAAAACAGAGAATATTAGAACTAGAAGACATAAGGGCAGACATGTAGCTGCACACCCCACTCCTTTCTGACACATCCCCCTCTACTCCCCAGTGAGCCCTATTGGTTGGCAAGTTGAAGATCAAACCTCTGTTTCCCTCATTCAATAACACTAGACCTTAGAAATTACTAAACAAGAATCATGAGCTTAATAATATTTTCTGGGAAAAAAACTAAATTCTATTCATCCATTTCCTTTATTGTGAAGATAGAAACTGAGGCCATTGGTTTTTAAGCACTAAAAGTTAAGAAAAAAATTATTAGTAGTAACACAAAGACAGAATCCAGGTCTCAGTCCATTCAGTTGGTCATCATCTTTTAGTGCACACCAGCAATTAGTTCTTAACCAATGGAATGAATGCAGAAGAATGCTTTGAATACACATTGTTTTCTCACAGCTTTCACTTGGGTACACCAACTTCATATGCATGCCAAAAGAACACAACCTAGAAATTTAAAACATTATTTTTTGACAATTTTTAGATGTTGATAATCATTGAAACCATCAATAATACCTCTGACACTCTGACACTGTCCCAAGATTCTTTCTTTTAAATTCTCCCTTTCCTCCCAACCCCCGTTGTGTGTGTGTGTGTCTGTGTGTGTGTGTCTGTGTTTTCTCCTATGTACAGGTGCATGTTCACATGTATACATTTGGAGACCAGAAGTCAACTTAGGATGTCATTTCTCAGGTACCATCTACCTTTTTTTTTTTTTTGAGACGAGGTCTCTCTCTGGTCTGAACCTTGTTGATTCTTTTAGGCGGGAGGACCACTGAGCCCTAGAGATCTGCTTGTCTCTGCTTCCTCTCGACTGGCATTACAAACATTCTCACAAGGAGATTTAAAGATAGACAATAAACCCAAGTTTTTTGCTGTGGTTGTTGTTTTGTTTATAATGTGGGCTCTAGGGAATCAAAGTGAAGGTACAAGCATTATATTGACTGAGTCTCCCTAGCCCCATAGTCACACGATTTTATGCCCGCTTAAGGCAGTTGCATATCCATCCTATAGAGAAGATGAGGGCAGACCACAGGCCCATGGTCTTCCTACTTTCCACTGTAAATCATTAACAGAATTATATTTTAGGACAATAATATTATTCGTTGTCCTTCAAATCATACTTACGTGTCACTTCTCCATTGAATTAGTGATCAACTCCAGTTCACATGTAACAGTTTAGCCCACTGATTTATTTGTTCCTTCAAGCAGTAAAGGGTCTTCTTCTTAGGCTGTTTTTAACTAATGTATATTTTTAATTTATTATCACTACTACTATTGTTAGTGTGTGTGTGTCCATGTGTGTGTTTTGTATGTATGATGTGTAGTGGGTGTATCCATGACACATGTATGTCAAAGAACAACTTTGTGAAGTCAGCTTTCTCTTTCCACCTTTATGTGAGTATTGGGGATCAAACTCAGATCACCAGGCTTTTGCATTAAGTATTTCTACACACTGTGCCATCTCACTGCCCTACTGCTACATATCTTTTTTTTTTTTTTTTTTTTTTTGGTTTTACGAGACAGGGTTTCTCTGTTTTGGAGGCTGTCCGTCCAGCCTGACCTCGAACTCACAGAGATCCGCCTGCCTCTGCCTCCCAAGTGCTGGAATTAAAGGCGTGCGCCACCAACGCCTGGCCTATATCTTATACTGTGGTGTTGACAATGTTGGTGACAATTTTTATTTTCTAATTGGTTTTTATTATAGTTTATTGCATTTGACATTCAAGACTGTGTATAGAAAGGTGAGGTGGTATGGGCACCAAACTTCAAAGAATTTTATAAAAAAAATGAAGTCAAGTAATGATAATTTCACTCTTCACAGTCTGTCTTCTAATCTCCATGGAGCACAGGTATTATTTTTATTTTACCAAAACCAAGCCTTTGCTTTGGTGATTGCCATGTTCATCTAGTTAATGAATGGTGCATCAGGAATTCCAGTCCATGATTTCAGACTCCACATTGACTTGAAATCATGCCTGGCAAAAGGAATAGCAAAAGTTATCCAGCAAAATCCAATGCCTACCAATTAAATTCCCCTTGTGAGTAAACAGGAACATTAGACCCAAGAAAAGTAAATTAAATTGTTTTTGAAATAGATTTCTTTGCTTCAAACTCACTCTTCATATAGGTATACCATCTCAAACCTAGAAAAGTGTAGATTTTCGTTACTCATGGTTTAGCAAGGAGAGAAAACAACTAAAAGTAATTGAGGACCAAGCAAATAGAAGAATATTTTAACTTCAGTTTGTGTGGAAATAGATTCATAAAAATAAAACAATGAGCATCCCTTAGAAGGCAGTGGCTCTCAACCTTCTTAATGCTGCAACATTTAATACAGTTCCTCATGTTGTGGTGACCCCAAGCACAAAATTATTTTCATTGCTACTTCATAGCTGGAATTTTTGCTGCTGTTATTAACTGTAATATAAATATGTTTTCCAATGATCTTAGGTGATCGCTGTGAAAGGGTTATTCAACTTCCTAAGGGGTCATAACCCACAGGTTGAGAACCACTGTTTTAGATTATGCAACTGACTACAGAGGTGCACAGAATGAAAGGGAAAATGACATTTTACCAGGAAAGCTGACAGGAGGCACTGGGCTTCAGCAATTTTCAACACTTGATTCTTTAGATCTGATATGTGAATTTATATTTGAATCTTAAAGTTACTCCACTAGTGTCATGTGGTGATCCATTTGTGAACACACAATGTGATATTCTCATCCAATAAGCAAACTCTGCAAGGGACTTGTCCCAGCAAAACTCATTTTTTCTTCGGTTCATCAGAGATGTCAAGGCATCTCCTCAGAGAATGTCAGATTTTCCAGGATTACTCAGGCTTCAAACATTCAATTATCCAGGAAATAATCAGCAACTGGCATTAAAAGGAAACAAATCTACATATGACCTAAGTGAAAAGTTTTTAGCCAATCAACATAATCTCCCAATTGCATCTAAAGAACATAATCTTGTTGTTTTATTTTAATTTATTATTCACGATTTAATTGTCAGTTAGATATAGATAGATAAGTAATATACAAAGTGAAATGGGAGTTTTAAGATAGAAAATGGTTCTTCCTTCGAGGGAATTTATCCATTTAATAGGAGACATTTAGGTAGCTTTGGGAGAAACTATAAAACATGTAAATGCATCGTGAGAAATGTCACGGTGCTCTAACAGCCATTTGCTCCTATTTGCTATAATCAGATTGCCTCCAGCCAAGTGAAAAATACCACTCTTAAGTCTTGACTGAATTAGTGGTGACATTAATATCTGCTTGCTTGAAAAACATCAAAATCCTCTAAGAGGTCTGACTCTAGTTAAAAATCAATGTTCTTGGGCATAGAGAGATGGCATAGCAGTTAAGAGCACTTGGTGCTCTTGCACAGGACCCAGGTTCAGTTCCCAGAACCCACATGGTGGTTCAATGATCTATAACTTTTTTTCCAAGAGATCTGATGCCCTCTTTTGACTTCCACAGGCACAGGACATGCACATGGTACACATGTATACATAAAGACAAAAAATTATATAAATAAAATAAAATATAAGTCTTTGTTTAAAAACTACTTTGAGAGAATTGGTGTTCTTTCTATGATGTGTTACCCTCTCATACTTTGGCTAGCTTATTTTCTGCCTGGTTTTTTCTTAGCTATATTTTTTAAATTTCATTTCTGTGATGAAATATTTTGGTGAAAAGTAATGCATGGAAGAAATGGTTTATTTTAGCTCAAAGTCCAGCTTCTAGTCCATCATGATAATGAAGTCAGTGCAGGAACTTCAACAGATACTCACTGTGCTGAGTAATTTCATGTCACCTTGACACAAACTAAAGGCATCTGAAAGAAGGGAATCTCAATTAATAAAATGCCTCCATAAAATGGAACTGTGAGCAAGACTATAGGGAAATTTCTTAATTAGTGATTGATGGGGAGAACCCAGCTCATTGTAAGTGGTGCTATCCCTGGGATGTTGGTCCTGGGTTCTATAAGAAAGCAAGCTGTGCAAGCCATGTGAAACAAGCCAGTAAGCAGCACCCCTCCAGGGTCTCAACATCAGCTCCTGCCTTCAGGTTCCTGTCCTGTTTGAGTTCCTGTCTTGACTTCCTTTCATGATGAACAATGACATAGAAGTGTAAGCCAAACAAATCCTTTCCTCCATAACTTGCTTTGATCATGGTGTTTCACCACAGCAACAGTAACCCTAAGACACTCACATGCACAGCTGAGAGAGAATAAATGCATGCATACGTAGTATTCAGCTAGCATATTTTTTACTTACACACCCTTTAGGGTACCCTGCCTTTAGGGTACTTAGAGAATGATATCACTCACAATAGACTGGCTTGAGTAGGCTGGCTCTTACTACATCAATTAAAGTAAAGAAGACAGTCTCCCACAGGCATACCCATAATCCAACCTGCTCTAGACAATCCTTCATTGAGATTCTTTTAAGACAATTTTGGCCGGGCGGTGGTGGCGCATGCCTTTAATCCCAGCACTCGGGAGGCAGAGGCAGGCAGATCTCTGTGAGTTCGAGGTCAGGCTGGACCGACAGCCTCCAAAACAATACAGAGAAACCTTGTCTTGTAAAACCAAAAAAAAAAAAAAAGACAATTTTGGTTGTCAACCTGAATATCAGAATTAACCATTGCACTATCACATCCCCCCTCTCTTTTCTCTTTTTTCTCTCTTCTCTCTCCTCCCACTCCCCTTCTATTCTGTCTCCTATTTCTGTCAAGCTTTTAGGCTCTCAGTGATGCCTAACCTGTTATATCTGATTTACCTGTATTTCTTCCCTTTTGACTATATATATCCCACTTGTCATAACTTGTGATGTAGAGACCCATGGCACCGACAGACTGTTCAAAGACTTTCTGAATCCTGCGCCTCCTTTCACATTCCCTGGTCCTGAGATCTGGTCATTCTTGGAATTAAATCTATTGCAAATCTTCTTAACACATAGTTAATTCTGCAAGACCTAAAACAAAAAATTCAGTACAAATAAGTTTAGGATTCTATGGGAATTTTAAGGAGTAATAATTTTGATCAAATTGTTTAAACAGATAACAGAACTGAATTATAACTCGATAAGTAAAATGTTTGAGTTGTAAGAACATCTTGGAAGGATGACGCATCTGTACTGAACCATGAGAAGAATCAAAATTACCAAATGTAACACCCAAATAATAAAAATGTGTTGTCATATAAAAGCAGCTATTTTCTGAGACTCTCATCTTTCAAGGTCCAATATAGCATAAAACCAAAAATCTATCTGATAAGGTAAATTTAAGAGCATTGTTAGTTACATTTTGTATTCATTGAAAAAAATAAAAACATCTGATCTTCCTTGTTAGGGAATCCTCTGAATTCTTCATCAGATACTTTGAATAACTATGAGTTACGGAGCAGAAAATATGAAATAAAACAGAGATCTCTACCCCTAAGAAGCTTCCTGGCAGGTGAGAGGACTGACATAAAAAGTGATTGTGAAGACAGAAGTGGGCTTTGAGGGGTTAAAAATAATAAATATTTAAAAAGAGAAAATTATCTCAGTGTACTCCCCCACACTTTGAGCAGCCATGCATATGGGTTTTCAGGGAGTGGCCTCCACTTACATCCTTCACTGGAAGGTGGATAGCAGGAAGAGAAGTGAGCTGGGTGTGCATAGAGTGTGTGCATACCCAAGGCAGGAAGGCCATGACTCTCCGTGCTTGGGGAAAATGAACAGGCCGAGCCACTGCAGACACAGAGGCTCTTCATGAGGCATCCAGGTTGCATAGGACAGAACTTCCCTTTCTGGCTGTTCTGCCTGCCACCTTAGACTATTGCTGTCCCTTGAACTCCACAACACTGGGTTCATCTGTAAATTCTCTTTTTTCCCCAGAATCCTTCAAAACTGGGAGGAGCTGGCCTCCCCATGTGGATATATGTTCAGTGTAATAAACACATTAATGTTTGGGGAAAAAGGAAATTTCCAGGAAATTTACAAGTTTTGCAAAATTAGAAAAATTTTCTAATGGGTGACAAAAAATTTGTGCTAAAAATTTAATAGTTTTATTAAATGTATAAAATAATTCAGCAAATTTTTAAAACTGAGTTTGGAGAAATTAAACTTGTATTTTCAAAATCAAAAAAAAAGTGATTGCAATGGATTACATTGAGTGTCATGATAGAGGCACGCTCCAGAGTCTGTGGAAATCTGTAGAAATAAGGAAAGGAACTGGAGATCTGGATAAGTGAGCAAGCATAGGTGGCCAGATGTCACCACATGTGAAGGCATGGACAAAGTGGAAACAGAAGAGGTAAACAATGGGTAAATTGCAAAGGTTGTTATCTGCTCCAACGCTAAGATTGGATGGAACCCTAAAGTAGTTGTGAGTTACTCGTGTGTACACAATATTATGATTTGTGTTTAGAAAAACATTGCTTTGGCAACAATGAGAAGAGTAAGTTCAAAGGGTAAACTGAGCAATAGAAAGTTACCTACACATCTGCAGTGGAGGAAGATGACAGAACTGTACAACCAAAGTCCAGGGCCACACCAAATGATGAGAGCAAGAAGGAGAAAGGGTACCTTAGAACAGAAACAAGTTGGATGGCCAAAATATATACCTGGATATAAAAATAAGTTAATACATACATATTATAGCTATGCAAATATGCTTTTATCTTTAACACATGGAAAAACTATATGTGTTGTTAGAACCCGGCATTATGCTGACCCAGTGCCCTGACAATGGGTAGGACACGCATATTAGCATTCAGGAAGATACTTAGGCAGCTCAAAGGCCCCCCCTCTCTCCCTCCTCCCTCTCCCCTCCCTATTGCCCCCTCACTTCTCTCTCTCTCCCTTCCTTCTCTGCTTCTGCTACCTTCTCTTTTGTCCCCTCACAACTTCCTCCAATAAACTCCACATGGGTTTGTAGAGCCTCGTGGTTCCTGAAGCATGGTTTCATGTTCCATCTACTCTGCTCATAACTGAAACAAAAGAACAACATATATACCAAAGAAATTTTTTAAATAAAACCCTTTATGATTTATCATTAAAAAAATAGAAACAAGTTGTGTCACAGCCATCAAGCCCCTGGTAATGTCACACCTACCTCTCAACTACATGTGACTTCCAGAAATACAGGTTCTAACATTCATAGTTCTAAGTCCTACCAGGTCCAGCACTGTATGAATTTTCATTTCTCTAACTCCCCTTAACATGTTGACTGGACAGTTGCTAGTTAATATTTGTGCCATTCTCACATAATAACTTTGGTCATGTGCTTCAAAAATCTGGAAGTATCATTTATTCCTTTGGGTCCCATTTTTCCACTTGCACTATTAAGCCGAAGTTTGTTGAAATAACATACAACTTCAGTGATGAAGAGTACAAAAGATGAGAGTGTAAAGTTTACACTCTAAACCAAGACAGACAAGGTATGTAAAGGGAACACACTGGAGTGACATTAAGGAAAATAAAAATAAAAACCTGTTTGGAGCCATAGATGGTGGAGACCAAAGAAGGCTAACTTTACTGTACTAGTTGTTTTCCTGAGATCAGCTCTAAATAGTGACCAGGGTAGCAACGTTCTAGTTGATCAATTACTATAAGCAAAAAGATAAAGTACTTCCTCCAGAAGACTATAGATGGGTAACACTGATCATCTTCCATGAAAGACAATTTAATTGATACTCATTTACCAATAAATGATGATGATGATGATGATGATGATATGGGAGGGAAACAGATGCCACTACAGTTTTTTTCAGCCTTTCTATCTTTGGCTTTATACTCTGTTTTTAAGCACTCATGTCATGCCCTGACAACATTTAACCCTGTAAAACCAGTTTATAAATACTCCACCACCAAATTCTTTCTGAGATGCATGATGGATTTACAATACACTCATGGTCATGTTTTGCATTTTGATGCATGCTGAGTTAAGAAATTTAGTATATCAAGGCAGTAAGTCTATTAAATAGTTTTACAGGCCACTATATTCTCCCAATATTATCTGGGCACAAAGCGAACCTTACAATTGCTACAAAGATTGTTTGGGGGGGCATCCTGGCTAGGACACTTGTGAGGTATTTTGATTAATCCAAGGCAGACTATGATGGAAAATTCTGTACTGGGATTCAGAGGTCATACGAAGAAATGCATATGTCTCAACCCTGAAAAAGAGTCATCTACATTCCAACAGCAAACTGTTTTAGAAATGTCATCCCTCAGAGGAGTTCATGCCAAACCCAATTAAAATCATGGTCATAAAGAGTGTAGAAAGACAGCATAACTAGCTAGAAAGAACCATGAAGTGTTAGAACCAATCTAGTCTAGCTCTCCTGTTTATAGCAGAAGAGACTGGGGTCCAAGAGCTAAAGCTACAGATTTGTTCAGCGTTAATGGGACTGTCCCCAGATCTCCTAACTGCAGGTTCATCTACCTCCTTATTACATGTTATCACTTCGTAGACCTGGGAAGTTGTATGCAGAAATGCTTTCTGGCTGAGACTCAGATATGTTTCCATGTGGAATTAGGCACCCTCCTGTCCAGAGGTCATCTGTGTGCACCGTGCTATTAAGGGTAACTGCAATGGAATGTTTGTAGACACTTAGATAATAATCTAACTGCATCCCCTTAGTGATATGGGGCCAGAGACCCCCAGGGAGATGATTTGAACTGCATCCATAATTGAAGTCTAGACAAATACAGACATTTCTGACAGATTGGGGAAGTCTCAGGGGAAGCCATGCTCTAAAAAACTTCAACCAAGCCACCAAAGGAAAAGTTGCTCTAAGTGGGATGGAGTCAGAAAGGACAGAATTAGAACTGAGCACTGATTGTAGGAAAGTGAGCAGTTATTCTCGGTATAATATGAGGCTATCTTTAAATCACTATCAATCTACCCCAGCCAATCTCCAGGGACATCTGCATATTCAGGGCAGAAGAGATTTGCTTAAAAACAAGTACATGAAAGAAATGAATCTCTCAAATATACCTGCATTCCCAAGGAGAAAATGACCTCCCACTAAATCCAGATGGTAACGAGGGAAAACTTTGCCACCAGAAAGTCAAGCTGTTATGTTAAGAGACTCCTCTGGATGTATAAGATATGAGAAGGGGAGCATGATTGCCCACCAGCAAAACTTTCAGAGAGTAAAAATAGGCAGAAATAGAGAATGTCTGTGAACACTAATCCTATCAGAGTAGAGGGTGAAAACAGATCACTCACTCTGCCAAGGCCTTTGGGACTAGTGTTATAGCCATACACAAGGAGAAGATACATCTACAATAGAATGCAACAGTGCCCTGGGATACCAACAGCAAAGAAAAGCTGAGAATGCACAATATGCTTTAACATAGACCAAAGGATAGCAGCTAGAATACACAGGCTAACTCACTGTAGGCTCTTTTCTCACTGTGTTATTGTATTCACTAAGCAGTTTGCTTTATACTAGAAAAAAAAGTGGTGTGTGTGTGTGTGTGTGTGTGTGTGTGTGTGTACACACATGCATTGTAAGGTATGTAAAAACAAGACTTCTTAAGATAACATGTACAGGAGAGTCCTCTTGAGATCGTGCTTATGCAGATTTATGCAAAAGTAAACAACACAGACCAGAGAAATTAGTCTATGACAAGTCATATCAAAGTCTTTATCCTATCCCATATTAATATAACAGGATAAGCTTTGCACTCCTATGGCAACCATGTGGACTCTATCTGGGAAGAAATGTCAGTTTGGTTGAGATGATATTCAGGAGAGAAGAATCTTTGGAAAAGGACTACTCTATTGGTAGTCAATTCCTAACAACAGGAACAGTGAGGGTTTTAGTTCTCAGAGAAGGATGGAGTCAGAATACCACAGTGTGTACCATGATCTGCTAAATAGATAAAGAAGAGCAACATTCTGAATTATAAGTGAGAAACCATATCTTTCTGAGGTTTTCTAAAACCATAGAGGTGAAGATAAGGGTGAGGTCCAACCACTGGACAAATGAGTGTTAGTTATCAACAGACTGGAAGACAAATTGTTCAAATAATATCACAAACTCTAGAAATATATGAGGTTTATCAGAATCCAGGCTCCATAAGGTTCAAGAGATAATGGTCCAAATCTCTAATGAAAGAAATGCGTATTCTGCTAGGGTCCAAATCTTAGTTCTCTAATGGAACGTCATGTTAAATGTTATTCTACATAACAGCTTTTTCATGAACTTAATGAACTTCTTTCAAGAATGATCAGAGTAAAAATTCTGTAAGCTAAATTGGAGAACAAATTATATTCCATACAAACTGAGGGTCCCTATTTTGTTTTGCAATATATGCCTGGGGACTTCCATGGGCTTGGAGGACCCACACCATCTGAAGGGAAAGTCTGTCTGTATGACTCATTAATCTGATCAAGGAAGAGCTTCATATGATAATGCATCCATAAGAAAATGTGGTCCAGATGCTAAGAAATCAGACTAGTCTCTTCCACAATGAAGTAAGCAGATCAAGATGAGTTGAAAATGTGTATAGAAGCATATACTTATCAAATCTCTTTCTAAGATTATCAAATCAAAAGATTTCTTCCAGGAAGAAAGGTACACAGTTTACCATGAAGCCTGTTTGTCTTGGTTACTGTTCTATTACTGTGAAGAGATACCATGACCAGGCAATTTATAGAGGAAGCATTTAATTAGGAGCTTGTTGACAGTTTCAGAGGATTGACCCATTATCATCACAGTGGGGAGTGTGACAGCATGCAGGCAGCTAGGCAACTTGGTGTTGGAAAGGTAGCCTATCCACAGGCAGCAGGCATAGACAGAGACATTGGGTTTGACACGGTCTCTTAAAACCTCAAATCCCACTCCCAGTGACACACCTCCTCTATCAAGGCCACACCACCTAATCCTTTCCAAACAATTCATTAAATGGGGACTCAGCATCTAAATATATGAGCCTGTGGGAGCCATTTTAATTCAAACCACCACATGCACTCTTTGGACCACATAGGATTGTAGTCATGTCATAATGCAAACTGCATTTAGTCCAATTTCAAAAGCCCCCATAGTCCTTCACCATGTCAACACTGTTTAGAAGTCCAAAGACAAAAGTTTCTTCTGAGACTCAAATCCCCTGAACTGAAATCCCTGTAAAATCAAAATCAAAATGCAGATCACATACTTCCAACATACAATGGTACATAATATACATTACCATTCCAAAAGGGAGGAAAGGGAACATAGTGAAGAAAACTGGACTAATGCAAGTCCAAAACCCAGCAGGGCAAACTCCAGATTCTGCATCTCCATGTCAAAGTGCCCTTCAGATCTCTAACTCCTTTCAGCTTTGTTGACTGCGACACACTTCTCTCTCTTGGGCTGGTCCCACAGCTGTTAGCAGCTACTTAGCAGCTATCCCATGACTCTGGTATCTCCAACATCTTGGGATCTTTAAGGCAATCCAGACTTCTCTTTTCCAGCTTCACACATGGCCTCTCTGGTCCTCCATGCAGGGACTGGTTGGCCTCAGTGGCTTTCCTTAACTACACGTAACGGTTCCATAACTCCT